TGGGATGGACCGGGTGATGCTGTCTGGGATGGACAGAGTGTACACTGGCTGATACATGCAGAATTATGCAGGTGGGAACAGATGCCTTAGAGCAATGCTGGCTGGCACAGACAGGGTGATGCTGGCTGAGGTGGATGCTTTGGAGTGATGCTGGCTGTGATGGACAGAGTGATTCCAGTAGGGTAGGACAGGGCAACACTGGCTATGTTGTCCAGAGTCATACTGGCTGATAAGTGCTAAAAAGTGTAGGTTGGGATGGAAAGGGCTTTGCTGGTGGGGAGATTCTGGTGTGTGGTAGGGAGATCGGGGTGCACATCCCTGACTCAGCATCCCCTGCACTTCTCACCCCAGACCCACTGGTGATCTCTTAGGGGGAGGAAGGGATTTCAGAGCCATTCTCCCACAAATGGCCTGGAGGAACAGGCCTACATAGACCAGCCTCACAGTGGGTGCAGGTATGGGGAGCCATGCAGGACTTGGTACAGCCTGAGCTCTCACAGCCCTGCTCTCCCTGGCTGTGTGAGCCTGTTTAGATGCAACTGTTGTCTCCTGCCATGCAAATACAGATCAGAATTTCTCCTTGGTTCCTTTCCACTCCAGCTGCACATGCACAGGTCTCTGGACCATGCTGGGGCTGGGAACCAGCCAGGGCTCTCAGCACAGGATTGCAAGGGCATAGAACCTTTAATCGCACCAACGCACATAGCTCCAAGCTGCTGGTAAATGTTTGTCCTTTGTGTACCCCCTCGAGGCGTGGGGGCTGCTCTGCAGCCAGGAACCAGCTATGACAGTGGCACAGACCCTGCCAGATGTCCCGGCTTGGGTCCTGGGATTTGATCCTTGTGCTGTCTCCAGCAAGAATGCATGAGATGAAAGGGAGATGCGGGGGTCCGTGGTCCTGCAGGAGTGCTCTGGGCTGTGGACCCTGACACCTGCCCCATTGCAGGTGTAACACCCTCTCCTCCCCATCGCTCTTTCTTCTCCAGATGCGCAGTTCCATCCCAGGCCTGGGCAGAGTGATGGTGTTTCTCACAGCAGCCTTGGCATCCGCCTCTCTTACCATCCCCGAGGGCTGGGGAGAAGAAGGTAAGCCCCTGATCAAGCCCCCTGCACAGTTCCCCTATATCCCAGGAGTCCTGAAGGGTCCCCATTCCCCCCAGACAGGAACAGACCTGCCAGAATCAGAGTGTACATGAAACACAGCCCTGCAGTGGTGGGTGTCCTTTGGCCCGAGCCCACCTGCATCTATTCATGGCCCCCAGGGGGGTATCGGCATGAACCAAGACCACCCAGCCAGTGCCCACCATGGGGTGCAGCCCCAGGCGGCCCACCTCCACCCCCAGCCCTGGCATTGGGCAGCACGGAGTGCTAACACCCATCTGGGGATATGTGTCCCTCCAGGTGTGCAGTATGGACAGCTGGGGACAGACGTGACCCTGCCATGCACTGGTGCCCACACCGGGTAGGTCTTTTCCATGCCC